CTGGAGCTGGTGACCTTTTTGTATGTAAAGAAGACTTTACACGACTTAAATTCTTTTTCCTTTGAGGGCGAACAATGTTCTTTTCTTCTGAAAATGGATGATGATCAGTTCATTCAGAGGCTACAGGGTTTTTTTAAAAAAAGAAGGGAAACCAAGATTTAAAGTGACTTCAGGTGATTCCCTCATTCTTGGCACAGGGAGATGAGCTGCCCTTAATCAAGGTCTTCAGGATTTGAAATGCACACATAGCTCTGAGGACACCAGGCAGCAGCAGTGATGGCTAGCTACTGTGCAGTGTATATTTTAAGAGAGGGAAGTTTCCTGGTTTGGGACAAGATTAGGGTAAAGTATTGTGCTTTGTCCTGCTGGTTTGTAACTCCCTATGCGATTTTTGCCTTGGTCCCAGGTCGTTTTAAGTGTCTGAAGGTTGGTGGATAGAGTTTCTTCTTGAGATAATGAGAGGCTTGTCTTCCAGAAGTTTATACGAAAGCTCTAGGAAGACTGTAGTTTTCAGTCTTGCAGTCCTGCTGAGGGATTATCAATTTACTGCACTAAATGCTTTGATTCAGAGTGGTCATTTTTAGGTCACATGGTAGGGATTTTTGCAGCTGTTGTTGTTTTGAGACAGAGTCTTGCTCTGTCGCCCAGGCTACAGTGCAGTGGCACTGTTTGGCTCACTGCAACCTCAGCCTCCTGAGTTCAAGTGATTCTCCTGTCTCAGCCTCCCAAGTAGCTGGAATTACAGGCGTGCCCCACCCGCCTGGCTAATTTTTGTATTTTTAGTAGAGACGGGATTTCACCATGTTGGCCAGGCTGGTCTTGAACTCCTGACCACCAGTGAACCACTTGCCTCGGCCTCCCAAAGTGCTGGGATTATAGGCATGAGCCACTACACCCGGCCTGATCACGTGTTTAATATCAACTTGTCTTATGTGAGTAATGAGGACAAAATTACTACTCAGGTTGGTACAAAGATTTTTTTAAAGTATGACCTTTAAACCCTAATGAAAAACAGGTTTGGGCTGGGCACAGTGGCTCACACCTGTAATCCCAGCACTTTGGGAGGCCGAGGCAGGCAGATCACAAGGTCAGGAGTTCAAGTCCAGCCTGAAAAACGTGGTGAAACCCCGCCTTTACTAAAAATACAAAAATTAGCTGGGCATGGTGGCACGTGCCTGTAATCCCAGCTACTTGGGAGGCTGAGGCAGGAGAATTGCTTGAACCTGGGAGTCGGAGGTTGCAGTGAGCTGAGATCGTGCCACTGCACTCTAGCCTGGGTGACAGAGTGAGACTCCATCTCAAAAATAAAAAAGAAAAAAAAAAAAACAGGTTTGATCTAGTGCTTCATTTAAAATAATACGTTGAACAGAGCATTGGTTTTGCTAACTATGGAGGTTAAAATAAAACTCGTATTAAATGACATTTTAAAATATATACCATCAAAAAATATGTACTTAGGCTAATAAATCTTTTATATTTTACATGAAGATTGTATGTCTACCATAAATCTCTACTCTGAAATGTTCTGCCTGCAAACATTTTTACAACACTTATTTATAAGATTAGTTTACTAACTTCATTACATGGAGGAGGGTACTTTAAATAATAATATCTATCAGAAATGATAATTAATTTGACTCTTATCTGCTCTTGCAGTATGTGACTACTATGAGCACTTTTATTACCTTTTGAAGATAATATAATTGTTTCTTATTTGGCAAGTGGATGAAAGCAGAATTAGAAACCAAAATGAACACCATGTATAAAACACATTGGCATATTAAAACAGACATTGTTAACAAATTACCTGCTGGCTTTAAAGAAAAATATAGGTTCAGTCAATGTTTTATTAAATCATTCTCATTCAACAAGTTTTGATTGAAATTTTACTCATTATGAAAAACATATTTGGCATGTCATAACAAAGAAAAATATTCTTATTTACTAAACTATTTTCTTCTGTGTAATGCTGCTAACTAAACATAAATAATTGCTTAATATTTTCCTTTAAATTGATAGTATGGATTTAAGCAGGAACCTCTATGGCAGTGGGAAATGCTTAAACTTAAATTTTGGCTTTTTTAACCAAAAAAAAAAGACAAAAATGATGGTTGGTGATCATTAGCAGAGCTTCCATAGGTCCTGCAGAGTATCCGAGGTCAAGGTTTAGAGCTCAGCCTAAAGCAGCTGCAGACATTGTTGGCTCGAATTGAGCAACTCAGGGTCCTGTGAAGAATCATGCTTTAATCCTTCCCCTGGTCTGTTGAGGGATTCATCCATTTAAAGGGGTTTCCCTCCTAAAGGAAGAAAGTAAGGAAGGTGACAGGCAAGGGGCCCTGGATTATGGAAGACAGGATGATTGGACTTGAATTGTACGCTTGCATGCCTGTGCTTTTGAGCCACCAAAACCGCTATTCCGAAACGTGCTAATACCATGAGCCCTTCCATCACTCAACAGAGGCAGAATAATCAGTCTTTAAATGCAAAGAAATTTGTTCCTAAATTAGCTTAGGTATCATCTCTCTAGAACATACTGTGAAGACCTAGGCGGACACTCAGTCAAACCCTAGGCCTGGTAATGGGTGTGATTTTTCTCTAGGAGAGGAACCTGAAGGAAAAAATGTTCAGGTAACATAGGCTGTCATAGACAAGGTAATAGACTTGTTTAATATAAGCAAAGAGCTGCATCTTACAGCTCTAAATGGGCTAAAAGCCCATTTCTTAACCCATTCCCCCCTTAGCCCCCTTATCTCCTCAAACACATGTCCTCAAAGAGTCTCTGGGTCTTGTCCACTGAACGGAATCATGCCCTCAGTTTAGGGCCTTGTGGGGAGAAGGAGGAGCATCAAAGAGAGAGAGGAAGGAGTTGCAGCCACACCTCTCCTGGCCACATTGTTTCTGAATACTTCATTTAAACAACGAAAGGAGGAGAAATTACCTAGTTAGTTGGAATCTTAGAGTTGATAATTACAGAGAGTAAGTCAAGTTTTTATCTTTTAATCTGAAATAACCAAAATGATGGTTATTCCCCTCACAAGAAATTCTCACCACTGTTTAGATGGTTGTTCAGGTTTTGGTCTTCAGTTGGGTACTTTTAAGACAGGCCTTACATATGACTCTTGGAATTTTTCAGTTCCATTTGGTAATTTGGAAGCATCATGTGACCAGTGACTTTTCAGTGCTTTTGGAAGGATATTGGCCACTTTATCAGCTTTGTACACACACAAAGTGCCCATTTTACCGTCGTTTCCATTTTTGCATTTTGCTGAGGACTTATGTTTTTGGTGACACTCTGTCTGCCTTCTACATTCATTTCTTCCTCACCAGCCTTAAAACAGAGACTGTAGGGAAAGGAATGAGAGCCTCCCTGGGTATCATTTTTCTTTATGGCTGGTGAAAAAAGAAGTCTACCTCCTTCATCTCTCTTATCAGGCTTTTGGGAAGTGAGGAGGAACAGTCCTGCCCCAAAGCCAGGTGAGATTTGAGGCCAGTGGTTCCTTTGAGCATTTCTCCAGTACCTGTGGAAGAGTCTCACCTTCTGTTGTTTCCACATCTGTGCATCCGCTTGTTCTGCCCCCATCCTTGAAAGCAGCTGATGGGGCTCCTATATCCTTATGGCCTAGCTTATTAGAACCTTCCAGAGGAAAACTTTTTTTTTTTTCTTAAGATGGAGATTTGCTCTGTGGCCCAGGCTGGAGTGCAGTGACGCAATCTCGGCTCACTGCAACCTCTGCCTCCCAGGTCCAAGTGATTCTCCTGCCTCAGCCTCCCAAGTAGCTGGGACTACAGGTGCGCGCCACCCCACCCAGCTGCCAGAAGAAAACTTTCGCACAGCCTACCTAAGCTTCTGTTCAAGAGTCTCTCTTAAAATCCAGGAAGAGACCGATATTCCAAGAGCAATTTAATTGTGGGCTCTTCCTGAAGTAGATGAATAGGAACAACTATTTAAATTGATGTAATTTTATTACGACCTCCTTCACATTGGTTGTCAGGTTTCCCTGCTCTTGTAGTTAATAAGGTGGTTCTGTGACCCAGGTAACCGTGATGCACAGATGAGATAATGTGGGGATTCAGTGATGCAAAATCAGAGGCAATCCCTTCATAAATAGAGGTGCCTCTGGCCCCGATCGTTTAGATCTCCTTTGACCAAAAAAAAAAAGATGTCCCATTCTGACACTGGAGAGGTTTATTTTTATTTATTTATTTTTTTGAGATGGAGTTTTGCTCTTGTTGCCCAGCTGGAGTGCAATGGCACAATCTTGGCTCACTGCACCCTCCACCTCCCAGGTTCAAGCGATTCTCCTGCCTCAGCCTCCCAAGTAGCTGGGACTACAGGCATGTGCCACCACGCCTGGCTAATTTTTGTATTTTTAGTAGAGACAGGGTTTCACCATGTTGGTCGGGCTGGTCTCGAACTCCTGACCTCAGGTGATTCACCCGCCTCGACCTCCCAAAATACTAAGATTACACGCATGAACCACTGTGCCCAGCGAGAGATTCTTAATCCTGGAAAACTGTTTTGCCAATGGAGAAAATATCCTAATTTATTCTTTAGTGCAAATTAGAAAATACTTAATAATTTGGCTTTGAAGCACAAACTCTAATCATGCTGTTGGTATTTTCCAGTATTACATGATTGATAGTTAATTTCCATAGCTCTCTTGATGTAGACCCTCAAGTAATTATATCCTTATATTTCGTGTTAAGCTAATATTACCAGGAAAGCAGTTTTAAACATCAGGCCTGTCTTTTTCGTTTTCTTCTAAGATAGCACATTGCAACAGTTTTGTTAGTGTTCAGTGGTCTGGAAGGTATTTTGGAGCATGCTTTGTACAGTGGAAAATTAATAGACTTTTTTTTGTAAACAGGCATTTGTAATGCTGTAATTAATGATTACCATGAATTTTATTTTTTGGTATCTTAATTCTATTGTTGATGTTAGCATTGGAATAAAATGAAAAGAGTCTGTGGTAATGACCTTGACTGTTTTGAGCACTTAGGAACCTGTTTTGTTCACTGGAACAATGAGGAAAAACCTGGATCCCTTCAATGAGCACACGGATGAGGAACTGTGGAATGCCTTACAAGAGGTAATTGATAAAATGTAATTATCTCTAATTTTTTAACATCAGTATGTGTATATGTACCTTTACAGCATTGCAGGAAATTAAGGGGAGCTTAGTGGTTTAACTAACTTTGTTCACCACCCAGGAGATCATTGAGGATGTGGATATGCTAAAATGTGTATACTGATGATGATGAAAACCAAAAATAAAATTTCACTTGTTCTCATTTTAATTTTCTTCCTATAGTCCAAAACAGTTTGGTGTTGTTTTATTTGTCTTTAGCAATGAGTTAAACTAGAAGTTGTATTTATGAGTTGAGATCCTGTTAGTAACTAAGTTACTCTGCACCATTTATTTTAGTGCTGTATTCTTAGGGAATTTCTAGTAAGGGAAGACGTCTCATAGTTGTTTTTCATTAACTAAGAGATAAATGAGATCATATTTATGAAATGCTTTGAAGTTTTATAAGAAAGTGTTTATAAAGGTAAATTATACAGTTGGAATGGGATAATATTTATTGGCAAACATGTAATTTTAATGCAAGTAACAGAACCCTGCAACCTTTGCTAAGTTTTTATACTAATATGTTGATTTCTAGAGGATTTTCTGTTATTTATGTGGTTCCTGTTGGGCCACTTCTTGAAATTTTCTCACCCTTGCGTGAAAAGGACTTTGACTATTAAGGTGCTGTTGGTTTGTATATTTTAACACTGATTTTCTATGTTCAGGAGTTCAAGTCCAGCCTGAAAACGTGGTGAAACCCCGCGCCTTTACTAAAAATACAAAATTAGCTGGGCATGGTGGCACGTGCCTGTAATCCCAGCTACTTGGGAGGCTGAGGCAGGAGAATTGCTTGAACCTGGGAGGCGGAGGTTGCAGTGAGCCGAGATCGTGCCACTGCACTCCAGCCTGGGTGACAGAGTGAGACTCCATCTCAAAAAAAAAAAAAAAAAACAGGTTTGATCTAGTGCTTCATTTAAAATAATACGTTGAACAGAGCATTGGTTTTGCTAACTATGGAGGTTAAAATAAACTCGGGGACAATGACATTTTAAAAATATATACCATCAAAAAATATGTACTTAGGCTAATAAATCTTTTATATTTTACATGAAGATTGTATGTCTACCATAAATCTCTACTCTGAAATGTTCTGCCTGCAAACATTTTTACAACACTTATTTATAAGATTAGTTTACTAACTTCATTACATGGAGGAGGGTACTTTAAATAATAATATCTATCAGAAATGATAATTAATTTGACTCTTATCTGCTCTTGCAGTATGTGACTACTATGAGCACTTTTATTACCTTTTGAAGATAATATAATTGTTTCTCATTTGGCAAAGTGGATGAAAGCAGAATTAGAAACCAAAATGAACACCATGTATAAAACACATTGGCATATTAAAACAGACATTGTTAACAAATTACCTGGGTTGGCTTTAAAGAAAATATAGGTTCAGTCAATGTTTTATTAAATCATTCTCATTCAACAAGTTTTGATTGAAATTTTACTCATTATGAAAAACATATTTGGCATGTCATAACAAAGAAAAATATTCTTATTTACTAAACTATTTTCTTCTGTGTAATGCTGCTAACTAAACATAAATAATTGCTTAATATTTTCCTTTAAATTGATAGTATGGATTTAAGCAGGAACCCTATGGCAGTGGAAATGCTTAAACTTAAATTTGGCTTTTTTAACCAAAAAAAAAAAGACAAAAATGATGGTTGGTGATCATTAGCAGAGCTTCCATAGGTCCTGCAGAGTATCCGAGGTCAAGGTTTAGAGCTCAGCCTAAAGCAGCTGCAGACATTGTTGGCTCCGACTGAGTAACTCAGGGTCCTGTGAAGAATCATGCTTTAATCCTTCCCCTGGTCTGTTGAGGGATTCATCCATTTAAAGGGGTTTCTCCCAAAGGAAGAAAGTAAGGAAGGTGACAGGCAAGGGGCCCTGGATTATGGAAGACAGGATGATTGGACTTGAATTGTATTGCATGCCTGTGCTTTTGAGCCACCAAACCGCTTATTCCGAAAACGTATAATACCATGAGCCCTTCCATCACTCAACAGAGGCAGAATAATCAGTCTTTAAATGCAAAGAAATTTGTTCCTAAATTAGCTTAGGTATCTCTAGAACATACTGTGAAGACCTAGGCGGACACCAGTCAAACCCTAGGCCTGGTGTAATGGGTGTGATTTTTTCTTCTAGGAGAGGAACCTGAAGGAAAAATGTTCAGGTAATATAGGCTGTCATAGACAAGGTACAGACTGTTTAATATAAGCAAAGAGCTGCATCTTACAGCTCTAAATGGGCTAAAAGCCCATTTCTTAACCCATTCTCCTTAGCTCCCCTTTATCTCCTCAAACACATGTCCTCAAAGAGTCTCTGGTCTTGTCCACTGAACGGAATCATGCTTCCTTTGTTTAGGGTTTTAGGAGAAGGAGGAGCATCAAAGAGAGAGAGGAAGGAGTTGCAGCCACACCTCTCCTGGCCACATTGTTTCTGAATACTTCATTTAAACAACGAAAGGAGGAGAAATTACCTAGTTAGGTTGGAATCTTAGGAGTTGATAATTACAGAGAGTAAGTCAAGTTTTTATCTTTTAATCTGAAATAACCAAAATGATGGTTATTCCCCTCACAAGAAATTCTCACCACTGTTTAGATGGTTGTTCAGGTTTTGGTCTTCAGTTGGGTACTTTTAAGACAGGCCTTACATATGACTCTTGGAATTTTTCAGTTCCATTTGGTAATTTGGAAGCATCATGTGACCAGTGACTTTTCAGTGCTTTTGGAAGGATATTGGCCACTTTATCAGCTTTGTACACACACAAAGTGTCCATTTTACCGTCAAGCTTCCATTTTTGCATTTTGCTGAGGACTTATGTTTTTGGTGACACTCTGTCTGCCTTCTACATTCATTTCTTCCTCACCAGCCTTAAAACAGAGACTGTAGGGAAAGGAATGAGAGCCCTCCTGGGCATCATTTTTCTTTATGGCTGGTGAAAAAAGAAGTCTACCTCCTTCATCTCTCTTATCAGGCTTTTGGGAAGTGAGGAGGGAACAGTCCTGCCCCCAAAGCCAGGTGAGATTTGAGGCCAGTGGTTCCTTTGAGCATTTCTCCAGTACCTGTGGAAGAGTCTCACCTTCTGTTGTTTCCACATCTGTGCATCCGCTTGTTCTGCCCCCATCCTTGAAAGCAGCTGATGGGGCTCCTATATCCTTATGGCCTAGCTTATTAGAACCTTCCAGAGGAAAACTTTTTTTTTTTTCTGCATGGAGATTTGCTCTGTGGCCCAGGCTGGAGTGCAGTGACGCAATCTCGGCTCACTGCAACCTCTGCCTCCCAGGTCCAAGTGATTCTCCTGCCGCAGCCTCCCAAGTAGCTGGGACTACAGTGCAAGCGCGCCACCCCACCCAGCTGCCAGAAGAAAACTTTCGCACAGCCTACCTAAGCTTCTGTTCAAGAGTCTCTCTTAAAATCCAGGAAGAGACCGATATTCCAAGAGCGATTTAATTGTGGGCTCTTCCTGAAGTAGATGAATAGGAACAACTATTTAAATTGATGTAATTTTATTACGACCTCCTTCACAATGGTTTTCAGGTTTCCCTGCTCTTGTAGTTAATAAGGTGGTTCTGTGACCCAGGTAACCGTGATGCACAGATAAGATAATGGGATTCAGTGATGCAAAATCAGAGGCAATCCTTCATAACAGAGAGGTGCCTCTGGCCCCGATTGTTTAGATCTCTCTTGGACTAAAAAAAAAGATGTCCCATTCTGGACATTGGAGAGGTTTATTTTTTATTTATTTATTTTTTTGAGATGGAGTTTTGCTCTGTTTGCCCAGCTGGAGTGCAATGGCACGATCTACTCACTGCACCCTCCACCTCCCAGGTTCAAGCGATTCTCCTGCCTCAGCCTCCCAAGTAGCTGGGACTACAGGCATGTGCCACCACGCCTGGCTAATTTTTTGTATTTTTAGTAGAGACAGGGTTTCACCATGTTGGTCGGGCTGGTCTCGAACTCCTGACCTCAGGTGATTCACCCGCCTCGACCTCCCAAAATACTAAGATTACACGCATGAACCACTGTGCCCAGCGAGAGATTCTTAATCCTGGAAAACTGTTTTGCCAATGGAGAAAATATCCTAATTTATTTTAGTGCAAATTAGAAAAATACTACTAATTTGGCTTTGAAGCACAAACCTAATCATGCTGCCGGTACTTTCCAGCAATACATGACTGGATAGTTAATTTCATAGTTTTTGATGTAGACCTCAAGTAATTATATCCTTATATTTCGTAAGGTTAATATTACCAGGAAAGCAGTTTTAAACATCAGGCCTTGTTCTTTTTCGTTTTCTTTCTAAGATAGCATATTGCAAACAGTTTTGTTAGTGTCTGTGGTCTGGAAGGTATTTTGGAGCACAGTTTGTACAGTGGAAAATTAATAGACTTGTAAACAGGCATTTGTAATGCTGTAATTAATGGGATTATCATGAATTTTATTTTTGGTATCTTAATTTATTGTTGATGTTACTGAATAAATGAAAAGATTCGGTGGTAATGACTCGACTGTTTGAGCACTTAGAACCTGTTTTGTTCACTGGAACAATGAGGAAAAACCTGGATCCCTTCAATGAGCACACGGATGAGGAACTGTGGAATGCCTTACAAGAGGTAATTGATAAAATGTAATTATCTCTAATTTTTTAACATCAGTATGTGTATATACCTTTATAGCATTGCAGGAAATTAAGGGGAGCTTAGTGGTTTAACTAACTCTTGTTCACCACCCAGGAGAGATCGTTGAGGATGTGGATATGCTAAAATGTGTATACTGATGATGATGAAAACTAAAAATAAAATTTCACTTGTTCTCATTTTAATTTTCTTTTCCTACAGTCCAAGAAAAACAGTTTGGTGTTGTTTTATTTGTCTTTAGCAATGAGTTAAACTAGAAGTTGTATTTATGAGTTGAGATCCTGTTAGTAACTAAGTTACTCTGCACCA